GAGATAATTTCGTAACACATTCCTTGGTTGCTTTTAAACTTGATGTAAAAGAATTAATAAGGTAAGGGTAGGGGTGTGGTGTGTTTCTGAATGCACCTGAAGGTATTGCTCTCACCTGGCAACACACACCCACACTCTCCTTCGTGGGCTTGCTACTTGTAGGGTATAGCACAAAGCTTGTCTACACTATTATCTGATAATCCTTTGATGGGTAATAAGGAAGTGAGGGAATCAAATGCAGACACATTTTTCAACAGGGTGGAGAGATACAGAATTATTGTCAAAGAAGAGGGCAAGGTAAAGGGGAAGTTATTATTGAGACCTGAGCAGATTTGTAGGTAGATGGAAAGTAGCCAGAGTTCAGGGATAGACTGGAGATCGGAGATAGAGACAGGGAGACAGAGACAGAGACAGAAAGACAGAGAGAGAGAGAAGGAATTATTACAATTTTTTTTAAAAAAATGCTATGATAACTGAGTGGAGGAAGGACATTACTAACTCAGATCAGTGAAAGTTTCATTGCAGAGCTGGCATTTGAATTGAGTTTCAAAAGATGAGTAGGAGTTTTCTTCTCATATTACATTCTTCTAGGAAGCACTGCCATATTTTCTTCCTTAAAAATTTAAAATTCTTACCAGGATTTATTTTCTTTTAAAACCCATTCCTAAATCCATTTATTCAGAAATTAAATACTTTGATAATTCCTTAAGGAGGAAGATATCAGGCTATACAACAATGAAATACAATAGCACAGTCATTTATTTGTCTGACCTATTATTCTTTCCACTTTTAATTAAGTGCTTCCTCCATCCAACAGCCTCAAGATTTAACTTTCCTTTGTCATATTTCTTGTATATACATTTGTATTTCAGAGATTAATTTGGAGCAAAAGTATGATCATTTCTAGGTAAGGCTGCATTTGAATAGAATTCAGAATAAACTCTGCGGTTTCTGTCTTTGTTATTGTTCCTTATCTTTGAAATGTTTCACTACAGAAGCCTCTCCATACTTACAGAGGATATATGAAGGGATTTTATATGGGTGTATGTGTATATATGTATATACATATGCACATACATATTATATATATACACACATATGTATATGTGTGTGTGCATTATATATGTGTGTTGTATATTATAGATATATATATCTATAATACACACACACACACACACACACACACACACACACATTTTTTTGCAGGGTGGGGAGGAAGAAGAATCTTGATTTACCAGTTCAGGGATGGTAACATCAGGGAATTCAGGCAAACCACAGAGAAAAGTGGGTACAGACCTGGTGTTTGACTCTTTGTTTTGGCAATCTTTCAACTTTTAAAGATTTACCTGCGGGGAAACTATGTTTTCTAGACTATACAAACAGGGAATCTACAAATACTGTCCTCAGGTTATTAGAGGTAGAGAAAGGTCTTCTTTTCTAGACCAAACTATAAGATGTAATGGGAAGGTCTTTGTTGTATTAACCATAATCCAGAGACAAGGTATCAAAAAAAATGAAGTACCTATTAGAAGCTTTCATCTTGAGGCAACAACACATTACATTTCTATAGTACTTCCCATAATGCTTTCTTCTATAGGACAACCCTGGGAAGTGGATAATATTATCCCTATTTTAAGGCTGGGGAAACTGAGCCTTGAATTTAAGGTCTTTAACTCCAAGAACACTGTTCTTTTCCCTACAACAGACTGCCTCTGGTGACTTAAAAGGATATCAGAATGGGTGAATTGTGAAAAGCAATGCAATAATTCATGAATTGTGAATTTCAAAGGTTTCCAGTACAGTCAGAATATAATTGTGGAGATTGCATGTCCCTGGAATAAATTCCAACCATAAAGTGAGTCTGTCTATAAAGAAGCATCTCTAAGTAACTACCATGAACCAGGCACTGTGCTAAGTGGTGGGTATATAAAGATAGACAAACAGACTTTACCCCCAAGGAGCTCACATTTAATGGGAGAGAAAACATACAAATTACTATATCCAAATGAGATATATATGGGATAAACTGAGGTTAGTCTCAGAGGGAAGTCATTGAGATTAAGGAGGAGTGGGAAAGGCTTCTTGCAGAAGGTGGGACTTTAGCTGAGACACCAGGGAAGCCAGGAGGCAGAGATGAGGAGAGAGAGCTCTAGGTATGGGGACAGCCAGGGAAAATGTTCAGTATTGTAGGTGGGAAACATTAAGGAGCTTGCACCCATACTTTTCACTTCCATATGATTTTTTTCAATTAACGAAAGTTTGTATGAACCTAGTATAATATCTATGTGACTGGGTTAAAAAGGGGTAGGATCTTAAATGTAACCATGCCAGTTGTTGGTGGGAGGTAGGGGGAAGGAGGAATGGATCCAGCCATAAAAGGCAATGAATTGAGGTTGGCAGGTTGAGTAATACAAATGGTAGACTCACTGACACACTATATACATTGCCTCTTTTTTTTTTTTTACAGTGTAGGGGTGAGGGGTATGTTGCCTCTTGATCTTGTACTGACCTGTAACTTGAAATCTCTGCTTCTATACCCAGCTTCTCGTTCCACCTCAGCTCCATGGAGTTTAGTGCTCCAGAGAAGCCCAGATTATAAACCTAGACCAGCCTTTGGTGTATACTTGCTAAGATCTGGATTCCTCTCTTTCCCCAGAAGGCAAATGTCCCACCTCAACCTTAATGAATATCCTAGTTCCCTGGACATCCAGTTCCCACTGACTTCTTTTTGTCAGCTACTTGTGCTTGAGAAGCCTGGACAAGGAAACTGCTCCAGAGAGATAAGGAAATAAGCTTAGAGCAGCGAAGTAATACAGAGGATAGAGTGCCTGACCTGGAATCAAGAGGACCTGAGTTCAAATCTGACCTTAGACACTTTAGCTGTGTAACCCTGGGCAAGTCACTTAACCATCTTTCCCTCAGTTTCCTCTTCTATAAAATGAGCTGGAGAAGGAAATGGCAAACCACTCCAGTATTTTTACCAAGATAACCCCATAATATGGTCACAAAGAGTCAGAAACAACTGAACAACAACATTTTCTTATCTTAAAAGGTTTAACTTCTCTGCATAATGGGAATAGTTACGCTTTCCATGCCCGACTCACAGGTTCATAGAAGATAATGGATAAGAAATCATTTGAAGACTATAAAATAGCATATATATATATATATATACATATATATATATATGTATGCATATGTTGGGCATGGAAAGTGTTATTAGCAGGCTCAATAATATTATTGCTATTTAATGCAAATGAACAATGACTTATTGAGAAGGCATATCAAAATTTCTAGATCACCCTTGCAAGTACCTGTTGTGATATATTTTACTAAGGAAAAATGCCTCTCAGACAGAGAAAAGTAGACTCTTTTGATGCATTGATTTTTCATCATCATCATAACTCATGTAACATTTGTAAACTATTTTACATGTTACGTCATTTGATTCCCAAAACATCCTGGTGAGGTACATGTTATTATTATCATCCTCCATTCTACAGATGAGGAAACTGAGGCTCAGCAAGTTTCAATGACTCATCCAGAGTCACACCACTACAAAATGTCTGAGGCAGGATTCAAGTCCAGTTTTTTTCTGACGTCAAGTCAAGTCTGCTCAGAGCACTATACCACAATGCAGCAATTAGCAAAGTTCACATGATACTCTGGAGGTACTTTACCAAACAAAGGCAACCACAGGTGGTCAACAAGGATTTCTTGAGGTCCTGTTTTCTACCCAAGTCCTATGCTAGACACTGTGGAGGGCACCAGGAAGCCTAACACAAGATCCAGGCCTGCCCTTATATGGGTTCCTTTGGTCAGAGAGGGAAAAAAATGTGCCCAGATGAAACAATGGAACAATTAGAGGCAAACTGTATGAAACTGTTTGTGCAATGTGGAGAAAGGAAAAATCAGTGTGGGATGGAGTAATTGGAGGCCGTGGGCTATGAGCCAGACCTGCAGATATGGGGAAGATTGAAATAGGCAGAGGCGAGGAGGGAAGGCATCCTAGCACAACAGGAGCTGGGTGTGGTAGAGGGAATTAGCATGTGGGGAGGAAGGACAATGAACTATCTCACAGAATGGCATAGATCCCTGCACCCACCCACCACAGTAACAGCTGCCCAAACATTTCTGGCCTTCCTGAGAGCGACCTTGAAACCAAGCGCTAAGAGGACACCGAATGTTTCCCCACTACTGACAATGGCTATCAAAGCCCCTGGGGCGGCCTGGGGACCATTGGGGTAGGGGGTGTGCAAACGTGATATGGCAAAAACAGGGCTAGACTAGAAGTTAAGAGATTTAAGTTCAAATCCCAGCTCTGTCACTTAATAACTGTGACCCAGGCAAATCACTTAACCTTTCTGTTCCTCGGTTTCTTTAGCTGTAAAATGGGATAATAATTCTTATGCTACCTCTTTTATAGGATTGTAGTGAGGATGAAATAAGATAACATATGTAAGATAATCTGTAAATCACATTGTACTAAATAAATGTAAATTATTACTCTGAATGGGGAGGCTACATAATATGGGGAAATAAACATTTTCTGGTAATCAGTTCTTACTTTTATACCTAGATTTTCCTAACTCTAATGCCACTTCTCTCCAGATTGCCTTATTACCAAGAGATATCTACGACATGTAATTATCTATGGAAATAGATATTCTGGTACAAATCCCTCATTTTACTAATGAAACTCAGAGAATTGAGGCTTTAGGTATCAATCTAGGCCTCAGTTTCCTCATCTGTAAAATGAAGGGATTGGACCAGGAGTGAGGAACCTGCGTCCTCGAGGCCGCACGTGGGCTTTCTAGGTCCTTAAGTGCGGCCCTTTGACTGAATCCAAACTTCACAGAACAGATCTCCTTAATAAAAGGATCTGTTCTGTAAAACTCGGACTCAGCCAAAGGACCGCACTTGAGGACCTGGTGGGCCACGTGTGGCCACAAGGCCACAGCAACAAAACAAAACACGACACGCTGTCATTTGCCACTTACCTACAAACAGCACACACAAAACAATCTGGGTGATAGGTCTTCCCCAGAGCTGACACCACTTCACCCTCGATGAACTGATCACAGCTGAAGCAGCGGGTACCATAGAGTCTTTGATAGTCCAAGGTACAAATGTATTCTCCCTGCCTCACAAAAAAACCACCTTCTGCCAAGTCACAGCCACAGGCTACAGAGAAAAGAACGAGAGAATTAATTACTCAGGCATCGGGGAAATACAGATAAACTCTGCTCATAAGTCCAATCGTTCAAATGAGGTGACTTTTTCTTTGGTGGAAGTTGTCAGTAAAGGCCTTCCTGTTCTTAGGAATATTCTTCTTGTGTTAGAGGTCAATTTTTCACTGATGGTGTGGGAGGAAGGGACTTTTATATGGTGCCATAGGCTCAAAGAGGACTGGGTTTGAATCTCTTAGCAGCCGTGTTACACTGGACAAGTTTTATAAGTTTCCTTAGCCTCAGATTCCTTATTTGTAAATTAAGGATAATAATATTTGCTTTGTTTAATTGCTCCGCAGCCACTATGAGGTTCAAAGAAGAGCATTTTTTAAGCGCTTTGATTTGTTAAGCATGGGTAGCTAGGTGGAACAGTGGATAGAGTTTTGGACTTGGAGGCAGGAAGACTCATCTTCCTGAGTTCAAATCTGGCCTCAGACACTTACTAGGTGTGTGATCCTGGGCAAGTCATTTAACCCTGTTTACCTCAGTTTCCTTATCTGTAAAATAAGCTGGAGAAGGAAATGGCAAACCACTCCAGTATCTTTCCCAAGAAAATCCCAAATGTGATCACAAAGAGTTGGATATGACTAAACAACAACAACAAAATATTTTGAAAAGAAGGAAGTGTTACATAAGTGACATCTATTATTATCCTTATATTTTAGACACGTCTCAACATACCTCAACCCATCCACAGTTAAGCCTGAGGTCTCACATTTGATACGGTAAAAAGAACATTGACCTATAAAATCTGAAGATCTGGGTTTGAGTTCTCACTGTACCTCTAAATAGCTAAGTGACCTCGAGCCAGTTAAAGCTCCCTGAGCCTCCGGTTATGCATCTGTGAAATGGTCATAACATCGCTCCTCCAGTACCCACCTCACACTCAGAGGAAAGTACTTTGAAACCCTAAAGTGCAAAAGAAATGCAAGCTGTTATTTACTATCTCATAAGATAATTGCAAAGATGAAATAAGATGACGTAGGTAAAGTACTTTGAAAATTATCAAGTGATTTTTTGCAGTAAAATTTTTAAAAAAGGAAATGAAAGGTCAGTTGGAGAATGGTAGAACAAACTCGATTATATGAATATAAGGAAATATTATTGTACCATAAGTCATGAAGAATATGTGGGACTCAGTGAATAGTGGAAAGTTACTCATAGGAACTAATGCAATCTGAAAGAAACACATCAAGGAGAACCGTATATATGACTACAACGGTGTAAACCAAACTAAAACGGGATCACATTCTGAGTAACTTTAATGAACCATTTTGGCACAAGAAGAGATGAGGAAATTGTACTACCTTCTTTTCAGCAGACAGGTAGAGGTGGTGGTGATGGTGGGGAACTCTGGGTATGGAATGTTAGATACACTGTAAGATGTGTCTCATTGTTTTTCTTTGTTTCAAGGAAGAACTCAATGTGTGGTGGGGGGTGGGCAGGAAAGGGAAGTATATACAGAAATGACCTGGATGGAAAAGCCATCAATAAAATGAATTTTTTAATTATAAAGAGTTTTGTAAATGCCATCTATTATTATTGTGATCATGAGTAACTCTACAACCCAAAGGTTCCTCCTTCCCATAGAATATCATGACAGAATACCATTAGTTGGGGAAACTAGATCCCAACTAAATCAGTAAACAAATATTCACTGGACCTACTATTTTTTATATTATGTCTCTTATGTAAAGGAAATGTAATCTCCTCAAGGGCTGGGCTTGTTTTTCATTTTACTTTCATATTCCTAGTACTTAATACCTTGCACATCACAGAGACTCCATAAATGCTTGCTAGATTGAACTGGAATCTAATTGCATAGCACAAAGAGAATTATATGCCATGGACCTTGTCTTCAAGCAGCTTACAGAATGAGTGAGGTATAAGAAACAAGGAAACAGAAAGATGATTTGTAATAAGTGAGTCTTCGCCACTTGTAATAAGTGAGTGATGACAGTCAATGCTATGGGAATTCCCAGGAGGGAGAAACCAGTATGGGTTGTGTTGGTCAGGCAGGACTTCCAGGAAATGGCAGTGGAACCTGACTTGGGTCATTCATGTGGGACTAGGAAGGACCTTAAATGTCAGTTAATTCAACACCCTCATTTTACAGATGAGGAATCTAAAATTCAGAGAGGAAAGATGACTTGTCAAGGTCAGTCAGTCAATCAACAAATATTTATTAAGTATCTACTATGTGCTGGGCATTTCCTAAGTGCCGGGGATACAAAGAAAGGTAAAAGACAGTCCCTGCTTCTGAGGAACTCACAGTCTAATAAGGGAGACAACATGCAAACAACTAGGTACTAAAAGCTCTCTACAGGATAAATTGGATAAAATCATTGGAGGCAAGTTATCGGAATTAAGAAAGGTTTCCTGTAGAAGGTGAGAGGTTAGATGAAACCTGAAGGAAGCCAGGAGGCAGCGATGAGGGAGAACATTCCAGACATGAGGACATGTCCAGAGCGGAAAAATGGAGTCAGAGAGCTGGTAAGAGACAGGAGAAGGCTTTGATCCCAAGACCTCTGTTCCCAGACCCAATACTTTTCCATTGTGCCATGAGGCTTTCCTTGGTTCATTCATTCATCGTTATCATAATCAGGGCAGCAAAGAGAGTGACCTGTAGAAGCGAGGAAGACAGTAGCCACTGCTAATAACACTAAGGAGGGCAATATGTTTTCTCATTCCAAGGCTAACTGGTGGCAATAGTATGTATTCTCTTTTTATGTATGTAAAAGCATTGCATGTATGTCTGGGATGGTGTTCCTAAACTGATTTATATTACAGTTGCAGATGTGAGTGTGTTGGTAGGAAAGATACTGGGTGAGTGGATAAGTCATGCCAGATCTAATTGTGATGGAGCACTACCGCATCAGTGAGTTATTGTTTCTAGGTTGGCTTTCCAAATCTATCTTTATGGGAATATCTGTGCTGGTGTGCCCTCGGGCAAATCACTTTGGCTTTCTGGGCTTCTATTTCCTCCTCTTCAAAATGATCATTCTAGCTCAAAAAGTTATGATTCTTGATCTTCAGTTTCAAGGGAGAGGCATTCTGGTTGGGAAACGGCAGGGAAGCAACAAGTTAATTAGAAGAATTAAAAAGTATAAAAGGGGGAAGATGGGAAGAGGTGTGACAACAGAGAAAACTCTGAACTCAGGAATGATTCTCTCCTTGTCTCTAAGGCTAAGTACAAATACACAAAGAATGCTTGGAGCCTGGCTGTGAACAAACATTTTCTTACACATTTTTCTGAAGGCAGATTGATGGAGCAAAATCGTGCCAATATTAAGTAAGGGTGGAAATTCACTTTCTCAGCAGAATTGCTCCACACAGGGGGCGGTTGTTTAAAAAATATCTAAAGTCTAAAAGGAAAAGAGGGCAAAAGCCAAGATGACAAACAAGTCCTGGAGCCAAAGGGCCTGAGGTGACCCACAGACCCGGCCTATCTAAAGCACACAGGCTCCTCAGAAGCACTGGCACTAGAAATATAGAAAGAAGACCCTCAGTCTTTCGAGTAAAAGAAAAGTAAAGATTCTCAGAGCCAAAAGGAACCTCAAAGGTCATCTGGTCTAAGCTCTTCCCTTTATAAGGAGGAAATTGAGGGCCAGAGGGGATCACCCAAAGAGTTATGGCTGGGCCTCAATTCAATCCAATAAGTATTTATAATGGACCTACTGTATGCCAGGCGCTATGATGTGTATTAAGGACACAAAGTAGGCAGCTAGGTGGAGAGGTGGATAGAGTGTTGGGTTTTGAAGTCAGGAAGACCTGAGTTCAAATGTGACCTCAGACACTTACTAGTTGTGCGACCCTAGGCAAGTCACTTAACCTCGATTGCCTCAGCTTCCTTATCTGTTAAATGATTTGAAGAAGGAAATGGCAAACTACTCCAATATCTTTGCTAAGAAAAATCCCAAATGAGGTCAGGAAGAATTGGACATGACTGAAACAACTGAACAACAAAGACAAAATTTAAATAGTCCCTACCCTCAAAGAACTTACATTCTAATGGTAATGAGAGTAGGGACAAGAAATGACAAGAACACAAATAAGTACTATATACAAATATATGTTCATGTATATATAGATACATACACATACATACATATACATATATATTTATTGCTGTTCAGGCATTTTTAAATTGTGTCCAACTCTTCATGACCCCATTTGGAGTGTTCTTGGCAAAGATACTGAAGTGATTTGTCATTTCCTTTTCCAACTCATTTTACAGATGAGGAAACTGAGGTAAGCAGGGTTAAGTGGCTTGCCCAAGGTCACCCAGCTAGTAATTATCTGAAGCCAAATTTGAACTCAGGAAGATAAGTCTTCCTGACTCCAGGCCCAGCACTCTATCCACTATACCACCTAGCTGCTTATATACACACATGCATACACACATACATATTACATATACATACACATGTATAGATACATACACAATACATATGTGGAAATACATAAACATATATATGTCTGTATAAATATATATTTATATAGACACACATATATTTTTGAAGGAAGTAACATAAAAGTCAGATATGAGGAGTCTGTCCATTATAGACATTAGGGTCAAAGGCATGTTTAAAGACACTGGTGATGGAAAACAGACTGTTGGACAATGCAAACAATCAGGGTGTCGGTCTGGCTGGAAGAAAAACAATGTGTGACAAGTCTGGAAAGGCTGGCTACAGTCACATTGTGAAGGGCTTAAACATCATACAGAAGGGATTGTATTTTATCCCACAGGGGATAGGGAGCTATCGACATTTCTTGAGCAGAAGACTCCTAATTCTGAGCACACTGTTTTTTTCCCCTATACACCATTGCTCTCATAGGGCAGCTGTTGTTTTTCTCAGATGGGAAAACCATCACTGAGATAATTAGTCATGGTCAGAACAGAATCCCAGGGCTCTTTCTGACTTAGGACTTTAAGTGCCCTTGCCCTTA